TGATCCTGAAATAGCAGTTTTCATGGCACTAGCATGAGTACAACCTGCACAGCAGCATTTCTAAGATTTGTAAACACATCACTATCACTGCTGTTTCCTTTCCACTGATGTAACTGTATATGTACAAATTACCAACAGTGTAAATGTAAAGTCTATTTATATAATAGGTTTAACTGATAAATTGGCCAATGAGGGTAGGTACAAGGTACACCTGGCTAATAAACTGGCAACTGAGCAAATTTAAAGCAAGCTGGTCTGTGAACTGCCAACACTGTATGAATACAGTACTGTGCAACAGACCACCCTTCAATTATTTTACTTTCCAGTCAAAACACCGTTAAGGTATTTATTTTCAGTGTCAAGAAAAAACAGAGTAATGTGCAAAAGTCTCAGGCGCCTAAGCATGTTGCTTAAAACCATTTATCTTGGCAATGCATGTGTTTTTGCTTGTAAAAACACCATATATCATCATCACCATAAATAAACATTAACAGTTAGAAATAACAAGAATGTCTTGCTTTAAAAAAGTAGTTCATATCTTACAAGTTAGTTCAAGGAACAAAGTCTGGTTCCAGATTTCTCCTAAAACGCCTCCAGCCATCACATGGATTTTGATAAAATCCATTACCAGCACACTTGATTTAACATAATGAAGTACTGATTAGTCAAACCAGGTGTTGGATGATAACTACAAATAATACTGGGCCACCATGAGCAGAGGTTTGGAAATGATTAAGCAAACAAACTGGCATGCATTAAATCACTACTTACCATATGAACGTTATTTGTATTTAATAAATGCTTAGTGCCCAGATAAATAGCTTTTTAAATCTAATTAGGTACACAGTACACTTTTGCAAAGTACCGTATTTTAAACATAAAATCACACAAACACAATATCAATGTATGGTGTCCACTTTTATTAATTTATAGGGTGTCTACAATATTCATTTACAGGGTGTCCACATTTTTCTTTTATCGCAGCTTACATTCTTTTCAGGAGGCTTGCTTTCAGTTTTTCAATGAAATCTGCAGGGATATTTTTCCACACCTCCAAAGTTTAGTCTTAAACGTTAGTTGCATTTTCTGCTTCTCACTATTCACATAATCCCAAACACATTAAATGATATTGAGATCTGGGCTCTGGGGTGACTAGTCTATTATGCTGAGAACATCAGCAGCTTCTTCGTTTGATTTGCTAATTTTTTTTGTCTATTTCCTTTTCTCAGTTAAGGCTTCTTGACAGCTGCATATCATTTCAGACATAGCGTTGAGTCTTCTAACAGTTGAAAGATGGACAGGCAGAAACTAGGGATGCACCAATACCACTTTTTCCCTTACAATACCAATACCTGATCATAGAGTATCGGCTGATACTGAATACTGATACAGACACTAACGCTGTTCAGCGTAATTAGCTTATAAGTCCTGATATTTATACAATTGCACCTATTAAATAATTTAATATTGATAAAAGCTATGTTCCTTGTAATTGCTTAATTGAATTTGTTGGAATACACACACACACACACACACACACTCACATATATTTATATATGTATATATATATATATATGTGTGTGTGTGTGTGTCTTAAGATACTTCAGACAAACTTACATTTAATTTACTATATATAACTAGTGTTTACTATTATTTTATTACATGCGTCTCGTATACTTGTGCTTACATCTCTGAAAGTCAGTTTCTGCTGGAGTTCAGTAAATATTAGCCATTCACGCTGTCAGTAGTAGCGGTTGAGTTGCAGATTCCTTGCCTTTGTTAAATCAAAAGCCCGTGAGACCCAGCTGCTGCATGATGCATCTCACCGACGTGCACCGCAGGCAAAGACAGTGGACACAGAGGCCCAGCTAGTGGGTTGATGTGCCAAAGGCTAAATGAAGTCTAAAGGCTTTCACTACCCCAAGAGACTTGCAGTTCCTTTCATACTGCCTTTCTAATGTTCGCTCCCTCAATAACAACCTGGACTAATATTAACTCAGACTGCAACTGACTATATAGCGGGAGATGAAGAATTACTGAAAGAAGCCAGACTCAGCCATTGAGGTAGGATGCTACTGTTAGCATGTTTTACAATGTTTGTTTGTTGCATTATCTGGTGTATTTGTGACATACTGGTGAAACCAACAGCTTAGGAAGAATTCCAAACGGCATATTACCCACTACTACGGCATTTCCACGAAATACAGGCATTACAGATTTTGCCATGAGAATTTTTGCTGCTGCTTGCCAAACTACACCACCAATGTGTTGTTAAGTTCCATCTTTTAGCATGCATGCATACGTCAGAAATTTTGTGGTATCAGTCATAGATTTTGTTATTCCCATTGCTGATACCGATACTGCATTTAAGTGCCAGTATCAGTGCTGATACCGATACGGTATCAATGCAACTCAACATCTGTGGATTTTTTCAGATCTCAAGCTAAAGTGGAGCTTGATCTCTTCTCCCTCAAAGATGAAAGCTTTAAGTACTTTTTATCTGGTGACAGTTCTGGTAGTCTACCAGGTCTCGTTTATAACTTATAATAATTTTTTGAACTCCAGTTTTGGAAAATCCTATTTTCTCACTTATTATCCTTTGACTTTCCCCTTCCTTATGCAAGTGGATTATCTTGTATCTAATCTCCACAGAAATATCTCCTAAAAAAGTAATAACTTGTACTTGGCGGTTTGACTGGAATTTATACAAAGGGTGGTAAATCTAGTGGTCTCTGACTTTGTGCGAATCTGCACAATACTTTAGATATAAAAAAATAATAAAATAAATACATAATATATTTTGATATTTTGTTTGTCACATATTTGAAAAATTGGACAAGGTAGAGAGGGAGAAAATTAGATCACAAGTAACGGGCTTGATATATATATATATATATATATATATATATATATATATATATATAAGGTATGCTTAAGCTAAGTTCCAGAAATGTATGGTTGCCTCTGATAAACAGTTGTAAGTCTATTCTAAAAGATTAGGTAGGGAAAATGGTTTTGTGGGCATTAATCTTTTTGTTCCTTTTTTCTTTCCTTTTTAATTTTTAACACGTCCACCCTGTTGAGCAGGAGGCTAAGAGGTGGTCACACTATGCTATGACCTACCAACAAACACACTGTTCCTCCATAAAAGTGCCCACACACACACATGTAATCAACAAGCTCTTCCCTCAGCACCAGGGCCGCAGTGGCCCCAATAACTGCAGCAGAAAGCAATCGATGAGCTTGCCGCTTGCAAAGCAGGCCAGATAAATTACTTTACAAACGGACACAAATGGAATTTGTAAGCATACACCAGCCTGCACGAACAGAAAGAAATAAGAAAAGGGAGGGGAGGGAAAATTAATTCATCCAGGTTGTCTGGCTGCTTATGAAGCAAAAACTGAGCTTTCGTAAAAAGAAAATTCTAACAGGGCTGCAGAAGAACGAGAGGGTGCGTAGGATCGATACAGGTTAATAGATATGCTTAAAGGTCAAGATCTATGTTAAAGTAAGGTGAATCAACCTTCAACAGATGACAAATGACTGTAAGATTCATGGTGTTACCACCTAATTTGAGGGTTTTAGAGTATAATTTACAGGACGTTTTCAGTGGGCTCCTGGGTAGAGAATACTTCTACTGTACACTGAAAAGCAGTCAGCCTTTTCCACATCATCGACGTCTAGCATTCTTCATACACTTAAATGCCGGTTATTCACGCAAACTGGGGGCTTGATTTATGAAAAAGATGAAAGGATGAGTAACAGTCAAAAGTCAGAGACCACCCTACATTCATATAATTTCCAGTCAAAACAGCCATTAAGTGTAAGTTATTCATTTTTCATGAGGTATTTCTGACGAGATTAGATATAAGATCATCCAATTAGAAATGGTAAAGTCAAAGAAAAGAAAAATGTAAAAAATATATGTAAAGGTATAGAGAAAATGTGATTCCAACAACTGTGCAAGACCTAGTAGACCGTAGATAAACAGTACCTAAAGCTTTCATCTTTGAAAGTTACACTCTTGGTTCAGATCTGAAAAAAATGCACTGGTGTTTCTGTCCATCCTTCCACTCTGAGAGGACAACTCAAAACTATGGGTCTGAAAGGATGTGCAGCTGTCAAGAAGCCCTTACTGAGAAAAGTAGAAAGTTTGCATTAAAACACTGAAATTTAACATCTGACATATGGACTAAGGTTTCATGGATAATGGATGAACAACGAATCTAAAATTTGTAATTGGGATTACTTGGACTGTAAGAAACAGAAAATGCAACCAGCTTCTAAGACTGAACTGAAAAAATATCCTGCAGATTTCTTTGAAAAACTGAAAAATCTTATGAAAGGTACTGAAGCTGTAATAAAGACAAAGGTTGGACATATTAAAAACTGAAAATGTGATATTATATCTAGTTGTTGAGGCTTTTGTGTAATTTTCTGTTCATTTTCTGCTTTTTCCCTGATGCTGAAAAATGAAGACCTTGCACTTCCTTTTCACTTGGTATGAAATAAATGTAGGGTGGTCTCTGACTTTTGCACAGTACAATATTTCAAAAGAATAAACCTGATAACAAAAACAAAAACAGTGACTGACTCACATATTTGTATGTAACTGACACTGAAAAGTGAAATGGATAAATGTATAGTACTTCGCTTGTATTATATTTATGTAGGACTGACCTTTTGTTGTTGTTTGTTTTTGTTTTTGCTGTTGCTATTGCTACCTCTAAATGTCTAGACTACTTCTTGTTATTTCTGTCCATACGTGTGTATATGACAACAAAGATATGGTTAAAAAAACTGCTGAACCATGATAAATGCCCCACCCACCCACTCACTGCCATTTATTTTACGCTGACAAAAAGAGCTACATCAGTCTAAGGGAATACATCTTGACCATGACTGCAGAGCCCTGGACACAAACCGCTCTTTTGAACGTATCTAAGAGCACCTTAAACCACTCTAACCCAGATTAGTGTAAGCCTGCTGCAACAGAATACCTGTGCTGGACTTGATGGTTTCCTTGCCTATGACGTGACCCAGTAAGTCATACTGGTTGAGGCGAGAGCCGTCTGGAGCCACAGACACTGACTTTTCATCGTCCGCCGTCCAGATGTAGACTACCTCGTTGTTTGTGTAGGCATCTGAGAGAGACAGAGCACAGTGAAAATTCCTTTAACGGATGTACAGAAGATTCTCACAGAAATAATGAATTCTGGTAATAGGTTTATAAGAAGGTGTCCTGAAATTATCAAAGATTTTGTCTTTGCCAACATATCAGACACATTTATGAAGCTGAACTTCGGGAAACAATGAAACAACCTATGGAACCTGTAAATATGACTAAGGTACAAAAACCAAGCATGTAAGTTTACAATGAAATGGAAAAAAGGAACTTTCATGCCTCCTGCTTTGATTTTCTCATCTTACAGTTTTTTTTTGTTGTTTATATCGCAAGTTATTAAGCCAACAGATTGCTTGGGTTTCACCATGTTTGTACAGCTTGCACCGACACCTCATTTGCACAGCCTGCATATTATGTTCTGCTTATATCTGAGAACATGTTTTATTATCCAAAAATACATTTTTCAGCACAGACATACGTCTGACAACTGAGAAGATATAGACACCAGGGCTAACATATTAGTGAGAGGGAGTCGTCTTCTAAGGTCTTTCAACAGTACTCTGTGATATCAATGCAAATGATGGAGTGCATGTAAGTGCATTAATAATATTTTATCAACCGCAAACCTGAGCGCAAAACCTTTGCACTGTACAGTGCAGTTGTCACTTTTTTGACAAGGGGTTATGAAGATGTTGATATTAAGCTTGTGTCAATATGTCACAGAAAAATATTCGTAAACACACACATTTATGTGAATCAATATCAGTAACCTCACACATTTTGATTTTTGCAAAATAATTCTGAAAACATTTAAAATGAAACTGTTTTGAGGACCTACTATTTATGAACAATTCAGCCGAAAGTGGCACAAGTGCAAATGTTACCTCGTAGGTGGGGTTAATATAACAGACTGAGTGATTAGTTATAAAAGTCCAGTACATTCATGCAATACACAATTTAATACAAGTCTATGCTGTTTGAACCAAACAAGCTTTTCAACCAAAATACATGCCTAAAAAAAATATGTCTCAGAATAATCATGATCACTGAAAAGAGGATGTGGCAAATTTATTTTTGACCACAAAGCAGAACAGCAAATATCAGCTCAAGAAAACTGAAATCTATTTTATTTCTATGACATTTGCAGCACATTTTTGATGAAATTTCAAATTTCTACAGAAAGATACAAACAACAAAATACTTCTATGACTGTTTATTTTGGGGGCACAGGTGTAACAGCATTTTAAAACTAACTCCACCATGTGGAGGCTGTACTTCAGCCTCGTTAGAACACACTGAATATGCTTCAAATTGGTGCTACATTGTAGGCACCAAGAGAGTGATCAAAATAATATAGGTGTGAATTCTGTGACTACACACAAAAAAACACAATGAAAAAAGTTACTTGTATACAAAAAAGGGTCACCGGGTGATTCTTGAGTAATATCTGCCCAACTACTGTCAGAATAGACAACTGAGGTGGTTATGGGGAATATGAGAAACTGACCAAAAGCATGTTTTAACTGAACATGTTTAGCTATATAAAATTCCCATGTTTCACTTTACCGTGCATTAGCTTGCTAAAATGATGTATAAAGCCTAGCCCTGTATCACAACTATTCTAAAATGGCATATTGTGTCAAATGGATTAACAGAAATGGCCCAATTACTTGATATAAAGTTACATTAATGTACTAAAGATGAAAAAAATGGATTAAAGTTTCTTCCTCCTCCAGTAAAGTTATCATGCCAGAGCAGCAAGGTTTATTTATGACTGCAGTGATATGCAACTATGCCTAAGTGCAAATACTTTCATAATAGTTTTAGCAGGCTGACACTGTCAACACGACAGTGTGTCTTTACCTAACCACGTTTACAGTGTTTTGTGAACAGAAGCATATTATAAAAGGTATTATAAATGGCTGCAATTTCGACTAATTCTTTCTGCCCACTGTAACTATTATGGACTTGAAAATGATACAAACTAGCATATGCTAATGATGATTTAGAAAATATGATAAAGTGCTGGGCACCTACTTGTTCTACTGTGCTAAAACAAATAGTTACACAGATCTAAATGCTTTTTAACGTAGCCTGAGAGAGAAAGCATCGTCTTTCATTACGAATCCCTAATAGGGCCAGAGAATACCAATAGCGCATTCATATGGTAACACAAAACAAAGCTTATGAAAAAAGGGGAACAATCAATATGAATAAATGTATCTCAATGAGTGCAATCCGAATGAAACTTTAATATGGGCTGCCTGTGGGTTGCTCTTGTGGTTTTGTGATTAGTTTACGGTTATGCTACACTGAACCCGAGGTATAATCAGAAAAATGCTACTAAGGTAGGGGGTCATCATCTTTGCATAAATGAGAAGAAGCTTTGCAAAAGAGCATGAAAGAATTGTTATTTGGCCAGATGCAGAAACATACACCTGTATACACACCATGAGAAGAAAGGGGCAAAGAAAGGGGGAAAATAATAGCTAGGCTCTGCACCAGGAATATGATTCACACACCAGGCTGTGGTTTGCTAATTAAATTTTGATGGCCAGAGAGAAAAGTTATTGTTTTATTCTGTTGGAAGACCATTAATCAAAGGCTAAATGCATCGACTTTAATGCCAGTTCATCTATAATGAATTGTAATTGGTTATGAAGTGCATTATTCTGACTTCAAATGCATAGTTTGTGGTGGGCAGCTGCTGCTAGTGTTTGCACGGAGGTTTATTTACAGCCAGCGTGCTGATGGGGAACTACTCAGAGTGAAAAGGTCAACAGTGTCACTGGCTTTCAACAAACAGAATGAGAAGAGCCTGTAAATTTAGTGACTGAGCTAAAACTCAATTAATACCAAAATCTTACAAGCAGGGGAGAAACAGATAGGGAGAGAGATTGTAAGATAGCAGATTCTGACAAATGTGATGCACAGTTCCTGTAAAATCATTGCTTGTTTATCCTGTCCCTATGAAACATCAGGTGACAGACTGCACTCGTCCCTATTTAAAGGGCCATATCACAGAACACCTATAGCGATTTAGCCTGTTGACACTGAAGTTACAAAGAGTATTGTTACTGCAGACAGAAAAACTGGCTCTAAAGAACACTTTGTTCATGAATCAGACATTTCAGACTATAGCCCTGCCCCAAATTGTGCACTAAGCCCTGTCGTCTGCCTCAGAGACTGCAAATGGATCGTCATAAATATGTGGATGTTACAGGCAAGATACCTTGGGTCTCTAGGTTTAAACATGTGCATTTGGTTAAAACTAATGCGATGTACACCCCACCTCCTCCCTGTTTCTCAGTCATATCTCAGTCCTACTACAGTTCAAGGAATCCAGCCTTCTAGATCCAAGCAGAAACCACCCACAACTCTCAGAGTTCTCTGCCCTCCATTAATAAGTCTCCCTTCATACTACCACCATACACTGAAGGCATGGTTTAAACCTCCTCCCACTTCCCCCAGCTATCATTGAGTGAAAATAGTCAGCTTGTTCAGAGAACCTTTATACAGTGTTACACTCGGAAATACGACAGGGTACAGAAAGAAAATGTGTTATGGTTTCCAATTCAAACTGACACAGAATATTTCGGAAGATATGTAGCAATATAACTGCAATAAGATATTTAATTTCATTCACCTTCTCATAAGCCTATCGCCAAATAGTCTTTTAGATTACAGTAGTGCATTTTAGAGGTTAGCCTTGTCTAAAAAAGCCAGAGGGGCCGATGTCTATTATCAGGATTTGTATTAACATTATCGTGAGGTTGATTCGAACAGGACTAGTATTACTGAAGCAGCTTTGCTCCAGAATTATTACTTAGCAGACTTGTAAAAGCTAAGGATGTGTCAGATTCGTATTAAACTAAAAGCATGGATCTCATTGGTAATCATTCAAATTACAGCACCTTCCCAGACACAACTAATCCAGCTTGAACAGGCTTAAGTCACATCTGAATCATCTTCTCCGTTATGTTGATACAGTATCTCCAGGAATTTTGGGTCACCCTATGGGACACCCTATGGCCTTGTGGTCCTCAAAGGCACAAAGTGCCATTTGGGAAGGGTTTGGAACCTTTTCTAAACAAGCCAAAATACAAGGTATCCACTGAGTACATCATTTACATAAATCATTCTATAAAGGTACAGTACGGAAAACAGCTCTTTTAATTCTAAAATAGAGGTTGGAAAGGTGTTGCATAAAAATAAACATAGAAATACATTTTTGGCACATAAAAGCATTCAAGCACTATAAGTGGACTTCAGGGGAAAAATAAGATGCAGAATATGGACCCTTTAAAAGTCACTCATGTGTTTGATGGTAAATAGTGTTACACTGTTTATTATGACCTTTAATAGTTGCCTATTAAATGGCTTAACAGGAAGTATGTGTTGTGTGATCAGGTGTGGTCATTACTCTTTGACTTGAACACAAAACAGGATCCCAGTGAATGCGTATAGCATAAACGGGTAGGGTTAGGGGTAAAAAGGCATAAAAGATTCCAGTTTGAATGTTTCATTGAAAAAGGCAACCACAAACTGAGATGAAAGGGGAAAGTAGGCATAAGATGTGAGTTGTTTATGTACTCTTCTGGCCAATATGCAGTAAAAAAACACCACTATCTGACTGAGTGTACTGAAGACTGCAACAGAGGGATTAGGGGCTGGATTCACAAAAGCTTTACAAAGAGAAAAATAACAAAAGATTACTAAAAAAAAAAATTAACAAGAACGTTTTAAAGGCTCATGCAAAATATTGGTATCACATTCACAATATTGATACTGTCTCTAACTAATCGTTAAAAGTTTATTGTGTGATGTGAGCATTAAGCACATAGCATTTAAAAGACAAAAATCTAAATTTTCTGTAATCTTGAATGGAAATGTAGTGACTTTTGCCCACCATAAAAATGTCTTCTGATTCTGATTCCATCACCATGCACCACCACCCCATCTCCTCCCTGTTTCTCAGTCCTATGTCTGTCCTACCATAGTTCAGAAAAGGGGGTCCAG